CACCCCTTCCTCCTGCACCTGGGGCGGGGCCCCTGGGCAGGAAGCTGGGCAGGTTGGGAGGCTCCGAGCCTCCCTGATCTCCCCCCCGTTGCTTTCCAGGCGACAACTTCCTCCTCCACAACCTGATCCTGGACACGGGCATCACGCAGCAGCTGGTGGACAGGGTGTGGAAGGACCAGGACCTCAGCACGTAGGCACAGCCCCATGGCCGGGGCCAGTCCAGCCAAGCCCCTGGGGCCAGGGCCCACCTGGGGCCCCAGCTGGGAGGCAGGGCCCTGCGGGAAGGGGCCCTGGAGCGCGGGCTGGGGACAGTACCAGCCTCAGAGACTGTGACCTCAGAGCCATTCGCCAAGCGAGGCTCAGGGTGTGGAAGGACCAGGACCTCAGCACGTAGGCACAGCCCCATGGCCGGGGCCAGTCCAGCCAAGCCCCTGGGGCCAGGGCCCACCTGGGGCCCCAGCTGGGAGGCAGGGCCCTGCGGGAAGGGGCCCTGGAGCGCGGGCTGGGGACAGTACCAGCCTCAGAGACTGTGACCTCAGAGCCATTCGCCAAGCGAGGCTCCAGGCCGGGCTGTGGGGAGCGCTGAGCCCCCAGCCCCCAAACGCCCCCAAGCCAAGGCAGACGCACAGGGACTCCGCGGAGCAGTCGCTTTGCCGTGGCAGATGCCCAGAGGCCCTGGTGACTGGCAGGAGGGAGCTCTGGCCAGCAGTCACACCCCGCGCTCCTGTCCGTCTCCCTGCAGGTACAGCCTCCTGGCCGTGTTCGCAGCCACCGACGGCGGCATCACCCGCCTTTTCCCTAACAAGTAAGTGGCCTCCAGTCCCCGGTGGCCCCGCCCGGTCTGCCTGCGGGTGGCACCGCAGCACACGACCCCGCTGACCCGGGGCGCTTCTCCCCCCTCCAGAGCGGCCGACGACTGGGACGAGGACCCCGAGCCCTTCAATGCCAGCTTCTATCGGCGGAGCCTGGACAACAAGGGGCAAATCTTCAAACCACCCTACCGGGAGCGTGAGTACCGCCCTGCACTGGCACGGCAGGGGCGCGCCCAGCCCCGCCCACCCCCTGGAATCCCCTGGGCTCAGCGGCTTTGCAGAGGGGAGAGAGCAATGGCTCTCGGGGCCTGGAGCTGCAGGCCCTGCCCAGGGAACATGCCTGAGATCTGGCCCTGGGCAGCTTCCCCTCTTGGGATCTGCAGGTTCAATCCCCTGGTGCGTTGCACAGGCATTTTGCACGAGTGTCACCCGCCGGTGGCGAGGAGCCCTCTCCCGGAGCTGGGAATGGTGAGCAAGGTGCCCAGCAGTACAGGGACTGCA